TCAATGTAACAAAGTGTGGCTTTTCACCAAACAAATTTCAACCCCAACATTGAAACATCAGCTACATTACAAGGACGACACAGATAAGCCTAGTCACAACAATGGCAGCGTAATTCAACCCATACAACAAGGTATCACCTGGCCAGTGACATGACACAGCATAGGTGGATTATAATGAAACTGCTAGAACAAGCCTACCTGAGAACTTCTTGAACAAGGCTAGTGAACTCTAGCGAGAGCCACATGTCGAGTCTCTGGCCATATGGCTGGGATCAGTGGAGACAGTGAGTTTGGTGGAACTCATAACAGGGCAACTGTGTCAGGTGAAGCGTGTTCTGATTGTGCTCCGTTAAACACCTGGTCAGAGAGACCTGCCGGCAGTTATCTACAGCTATCTTATCTGGGCTATAAACGCTCCACCATCACGCCCCGTACTTCCTACTGTAAGGTACCTATAGATTTAACAGGTAATAGGTAGTCGATCAGAGGTTTTAATGTATGTGAGGTACCTATTTAACTTTTACAGGTCACAGGTAGAGTTGATCAGAGGTCTTAACATATGCACTGTTCATTGTGCATGAGGATCGAGTACCTGCTCTGAGATTATAAAATAACACATGTAAAGAAATGTTTGTAGCAAAGTAATATTTGACAGATTTTACAATGGAATAGGAACTTATGGTAAAGTTAAGAGGCAAAATGTTTTCAATTAAAGAAACAACATCTACTTGTTTAATGTATGCCCTGCATTGCTACAGGAAGGTGAAGATAACAAGTGGATTTAACGCCTCTTAGGCTGTATGCCAGGTGTATGACACCATGTCTGCTTATTATGGAAGGTGAGGCGAGGTGAAATTGGGTTTAACGTCGTGCTTGAGAATATTTCGCTCATATGATGACGTGCATGCGTATGTATGTGTATCTGCGGCTGCTTGTACTAGCCCAGACTTAAGCTGGTTTTATAGTGCTAGCCCACTGAGATACCATGCCACAGTTAAGCATGAATACCCAACTCAGACACATTATACTGACTTCGAGCCGACCAGTCCTTGTTGTACCCATTAATAACGAGCGCCAGGCAGGGACCAACAAGTACCATATTTTAACATCTTTTGGTATGACGCGGTCAGGGATCGAACCAGCGACCTTCCGCTCTCCGGGCGGATGCTCTAACCACTACACCACGGAGGCAGTCTAATATGGAAGAAAGGCCAGGCGTTATTAGACACCCTGCGATAGAAGGAGAATCTCTTGCCATCATCAAATTTCAAAGTAGAACAACTTTCAGTAAATGTTCCCAATAAATTTGGCATCATACCACAACAATATCAGACAAATCCAAACACAACAGATTTTTCCCCTTTCAAGGAAAAAAAGTTTTCATTCCATGCTTTTATCATGTTCTTTGTAAAAACCGCATACTTATCACCACAAGCATCCAGCACGTCAGTGCCAAATAACACGTCAACTTATTACTTCCATCCAATCACTGTATAAAGTAAACCTCCACATGATGTAAGCACATCTACCTATCGTCTATATTGGCCGCCCTGAGTGCTCCCAACAGGCAGCCCATGCTGTGAGGCACGACTACACAGGCTCCAGATCACCCGTTGTCCACAGATAGGAGATCGCCATCCCGGTGGACGGTGGTCTGATGGCACGATTACGTGGTCAACAGCATACACAAACTGTACTCCATCTTGTGTCCTTATTTCACTGTTGTGGTTATTGCGGATTAATTATTGCTAATGACCGTTCTGTGATTGGTGCACTTGACAAGTGCTGTCAGCCAGTGTTTTCTATAGGTTCTAGATACAAGCATATGTCATGGAGCTCTCAGCTTCACCAATTACGACTGTAACTTCGGGACTTAATCTCAGCCACTTGATTCCTAGTTGATGCATTAAGTATGGTAAACTGAATTTAGTCATCATTGAGGTAAACTGGAAACAACAATCTCAAAATCTGGTTAAATGTCAGGGTTCACGCCACAATGTTGAGCATTACACAAAGTGTTCGTAAGTAGCCATGAAAGAGAACGGATCCTTGTCATGACCCTAGCTTGGACCACATCTTATCTATGAGATTGGCTTAGCTACAGTGATATAAGTTTAAATATTTAAACTTAAACACTAAGGAGATCCAAAATCCATAGGCACGGATACAAATGAACCTGAAAGTCTACTGGCCCAATGAGAAAACATGAACATGCAAAAAATAGTTGTACCTAAGGATGCCTTTAACATGAACAAATCTGGCTCAGCCTTGTGTTTATTTCTACCTGATAAGAGAAGACATCCAGGACCCACAGACCCCTGTAATCAGTTGATTCGCTAATAGACTGGAGCTTCCTGGTATCGGAACCATTAATTCAACGGGGCTTCTTTAAAGCAAATAACAGGAGTGAGCAAGGGCTTTAATCTGCCATATCTGCTGTATTAAATACAAAGCCCCAAAAGTGCCCTTGTTCAACTTCTTCTCCAAGTTGTAAGTCTTGTGAACACTTTGTACTTAGCCTAAACATAGATGTGACAGTTTATCATTTCTATTGTGTTACATATTTCTCTTAGAAGAAACAGCAATGTCAAAGAGATACTTGTCATCCTGAAACCTATTAGTTTCATTGACTTTGGATCTGAGTTTGTTTTTTACCACTCAATCTCTGACAACAGAATCTATTGTATATAATATATTAAGTTACCTTTGATCTTTTCCAAGCACCCAATGCGTTTAGACAAGCATTAGTCACTTCTAGATAACGCAGTTAATAACGATTTACTGTCTTATAATAAATACATCACGCCCATGGACACAACTGTTTATGAGTATATTATGCAAGATACGGCTACTTTTCAACCCAAACTCAGCACTCTAGTGTATAAAAACATAACAGAGAGAAGTGACATTTATGAGCACATGCCAAAATGGGCGTTTAATCTTGTAGACATTTAGCCATGATTTAGTAGTCACATGTACAAATTGAGCTGCAAAGCCCGGCAGTATGTTTCTGGTTAATTTCTATTTCTATTTCCACAACTGCTTCATATGCAGGCAATGTAGGCCAGTGTAGTAATTTGGTGTAATGAGTAGACTAGCTTGTACTGCCATGTAAACATATGGACATATGTGTAGCTGGGACACATCTCCGCGTAGAAATCATTTGTTTGTTTGTTTGTTGTTTAAGGCCACACTCAGCAATATTCGTGCTATAAGGCGGCGGTCTGTAAATAATCGAGTCAGGAGCAGGCAATCCAGTGATCAACAACATGAGCATCGAGCTACACAATTGGGATGCGATGACATGTGGCAACAAGGTCAGCAAGCCTGACCACCCGATCATGTTAGTCGCCTCTTACGACAATCATGGGTTGCTGAAGACCAATTCCAGCCTAGATCTTCATCGGTTGTAGAAATTATACTGTCAGCAGGAATGCTTGAATATTGCCCATGTCTTGCAAAGTGTACAGGACATAATCATGGTTTTATACCCATCAACACATTTGTAACATGAGGAAGAATATAAGTGAGTGTGGCTTTATACCGCTATTAGCAGTATTACACCAAAATCATGATGGGACAGCAACAATGGTAGCATTGGAAACTGTGTTCTTGGAGTTTGTTTTTGTGTTATTGGAATCCTGGGACCCCTTCAATTTTAAATATTCAACAGTTATGACAAGGAAAGATGGACTTACATAAATAATTTCCAGCACTGATAGGGTCTCTTAAAATATATCAGTATGAAGATTCAGACCTTAGTCCTTAAGGCTGACAAGCAAACACAAGGCTAAACCCCACCCCCCACACCCCACCCCCAAGATGAAGATGAAGCTGATGCATTTGGTAAGGTTTAAAAGTTTATTTTTATGAAAAGCTCCAACTTTTTCAATACCTTGAGAAGCATGGCTGAAGTAATTCATTACTCTACATGCTGAGGAAGTTGTTGTTATATCATTAAGATGGCAGACTCCTATTTCATATTTCACTGCTAAAGCTGGAATATTCATTTCCATTCTTAATTTGGGTACCTTTCCCAGCTGTCAATGGAAATAAAATCAACAGCCTTGAAAAATTGTCTAGCATAAATTTTGACAGAATTACTGAAATACGATCAACTCTGTATATCATATGGATTTGTTTCAATAAATTGTGTAAAACCCAAAATATTACGTAAGAAGGTACTCTTTCACAAAGGAAACAGAATCAAATTTAATGTATAATGGACTATCAGCAACATATCTTTCAGACATTTGCTAACTGATAAAAACACAGGAACTTGAATAAGTGATTACAAGTTATGTACAAAAGCCTTCAAAGGTCTGACAAGCATATCACTTTACTATGAATACACAATGCCATTTAGAAAGTGATCAAATAAACAATATGTTATATTTGGCATTGCACTTTCTCATTAAAGGACAGATTCTAGTACTTTGGTTGGGTTGAGTCACATCCGGGATTCAAACCCACACCCTGAAAGTCAGGCACCTAATCGTCAAAACACAATGTCAGCCGTCGAACCCATTCATGGAAGTCGGTAGTCTGGACTACGGACACTGGAAGCCGAGGTGGCTGAATGGGTTACATGACCGACTTCACCTCTACTTCACCACCTGAGTATCCCTTGAACTCTGAGACACTACACAACATGACACTAAGTGTTGTACTTACGATGGCTTGTCTCTACCACACCTGCCGACTGTCCTTGAACTCTGAGACAAGACACAACATGGCACTAAGTGCTGTACTTATGATGGCTTGTTTCTACCACACCACCCGAATATCCTTGAACTCTGAGACAAGACACAACATGACACTAAGTGCTGTACTTACGCTTGCTTTTCTCTACCACACCATCCGACTATCCCTTGAACGCTGAGACAAGACACAACATGACACTAAGTGCTGTACTTACGCTGGCTTGTCTCTACAACACCACCCAACCATCCCTTGAACTCTGAGACAAGACACAACATGACACTAAGTGCTGTACTTACGCTGGCTTGGCCTCCCTCCCATCTGGATGGTAGAGTACAATGGTGGCCACGATACAACCGTGGGTGACTGAAACGACAAAACAAACACTGACACACACACATCTCTGGTAGCAAGTCCAGTATTACTGTTCCTGCATCTTGTCCAACAGGTCTTACTACAGGAAGCAGCTTGTTCCAGGCTTAATTACATCCTACAAGTATTTTTAATTAAATCAGTGCAACATTCTTACCAAGTATACACAGAGAAAGTATTAAAATAATGGATATATTAACAATCCGCACATATCGGTCATGACATGTTAAGTAGAAATCTTAGAATACAGGTAAATCCACCCATTCTGAGACTTTCAAAACTGGCTGAACTTAATAAAATACTGACTGAACAGACAGATTGTTGACAGTAGTAACATATATCATTCAGCATCCATGCAAAGATAGCATTATTCAAGCCCTCAGAAACACAGGTAAAACAGTGTGTATCAACCAACCACGTACCTGTAGAATAAACTACATCATGTACATTATGCACAGCCTCCTATCTACATATGATTACTATTCCAGCAATGTACAACCCATGACACTTGCCATGAATACAAGTTACAACACCTGCACAAGCATCATACTGACCCAAATGATATATTCCTTCAGAAAAACACACAAAACACTAATACACTCCAACTCTTCCGACAATCCCAGAAAGCTAGATTCTTGTGAACATTATGCCATCCTAACAGATGCCTATTCAGAGGAAACCAGAGTGTGCATCCTGAGGCTGAATGTCTACAGTTTATTCAGTATATGAATGGGGATGTGTGACCTAGATATATAAGAAACTAGCATTTGTAGAGCGGAATGTTTGAAAAGCAACACCTGCCACAACTATAATGAGTAAAAATTGATTAAAATTGAAAGATTGCTTTGTAAGCAGCTACAACAAAAATAGTCCGTTATATTAAAATATGTGAGGCGAGGTGAAATTGGGTTTAATGTCGTGCTCGAGAATATTTCGCTCATATGACGACGTGCATGCGTGTGTATGTGTATGTGCGGCTGCTTGTACTAGCCCAGACTTAAGCTGGTTTTATACTGCTAGCCCACTGAGATACCATGCCGCAGTGAAGCATGAATACCCCACTCAGACACATTATACTGACTCCGAGCAGACCAGTCCTTGTTGTACCCATCAATGTTGAGCGACAGGCAGGGACCAACAAGTACCATATTTTAACGTCTTTTGGTATGACGTGGTCGGGGATTGAACCCGCGACCTTCCACTCTCCGGGCGGACGCTCTAACCACTACACCACGGTGGCGGTCTATATTAAAATAGCCAATGTCAACATACACAGCTATACAAAACACAAACATGACATTAACACCTGCATTGTACCAAACCACCTGTGGTCAGGAGAAGCTTTAGAATAAGTATCATCTGAAACTTGGTTTGGTTTGGTGGTTTAACGGCACGCTCAGCAATATTTCAATATGGTCTGTAAATATCCAGTCTGGATCAGATAATCCAGTGATCAACATCATGAGCATCGATCTACACAATTGGGATACGATGACAAGTGTCAAGCTAGTCAAAAAGTTAATCGCCTCTTTACAACAGGCATGGATTGCTGAGGACCAATTGTAACCCACATCTTCACTGTAAAATCTACCTGTGTATTACTTCATAATACCTTGTACAATTATAACTATGGCACTGCAGTAAATGTCATAATGATGTCACACACTGTCAAGCTTGAGAAATGACAAAGCCAGACAGGGGAAACATACGGATCAAACACCTAATCTGAAGCAGGGGTGATTTACACACAGTTTATATGAAAAGGTAAAAAGGCATATTAGAGGTATAACAATCTGTGCCCCAGACTCTCAAGCCAAAGTATAACTCTTCGCATCATTTTCAGTAGATTGTGATGGTATTATTTGGATTTTCATTAGCGTCTCAAGAACAAAGAGAATGTTAATCGATTCAGACTTTAGACCCTAGTTTCTGACTGATATAGTGATTTGACTTTCACAAAACTTTAAGAGTTTGTGAGCCAGTTTACTGTTGCCTCTTGGAACAGTATTTCATTTATATCACAGAGTGTCATCTTAAGTAAGAATGCCAGATATATTATATTTTGTCTTTCTTACAAACCACACAGCAAATATACACAAGAACAATTGTCAAACAGGTAAACAAACCGCTGAGCTGTCACACCTAAACAAGTGATATGGCACTGCCAGTACTGAGCTGAAGTTTAATGTTAGAGTTATTTCCCTTTGACCACAGCCCTGACCATCCATCCATTATACTGTTGGATAAACATGCACAATTTTCACTATGCAGCTAGGAAAGGAAGCTCCTATAAAATCACCCTAACCGACTCACACAGCACCAAGTAAATATATCATGATTATCTGGATATCGTCATTTACCAGCTCACAACGGTTCCTGTCATTTGCAACGAGTGTAAAGTACCGTAAAGAACATTATCCAGCTCTACAACATGTCATCTCAGACAAAAGCCACACATTAAACAAGTCATAGACTGCTACCACTTTGAAGAAACCCACAAGCAAAGGTACGGCATTAACCATGCTCACATATCAGGATAAAAAAATTAAAAAATTGGGGCAAATTTGGGATTCAAACTCACATCAAAGGGACGCAACTCAGTAAAACGACATAAACTTGCTCAATGACTGAAAATTTTAATTACAACACAGCAATGTTCAATGCAAATGTATACATACTTTTCTCTCCTCTCCGGTTGTTTTCCATGACCTCAACCCCCGAACTGTATGAGATCCCCGGAAAAGATTTCCCTGGCGGGCGACTCTTCCCCTCCCTTACACAGCCTCTGGTTGTTGATGAAGGTGCCATTGCTGCTCTTAGTGTCTTGTAAGTAAAACTGAAACACAACAGGAGAGTCTTAGCACAGAGCCTTAGAACTGAACAAATGCATCAATGATACACTTGTGAGGTGAGGTGAGGTGAAATTGGGTTTTACGTCGTGCTTGAGAATATTTTGCTCATATGACAACGTGCATGCAAGCTGGTTTTATAGTGCAAGCCCACTGAGATACCATGCCGCAGTGAACCATGAATACCCCACTCAGACACATTATACTGACTCCGAGCCGACCAGTCCTTGTTGTACCCATTAATGCCGAGCGACAGGCAGGGACCAACAAGTACCACATTTTAACATCTTTTGGTATGACGCGGTCGGGGATTGAACCCACGACCTTCCGCTCTCCCGGGCGGACGCTCTAACCACTACACCACGGAGGCGGTGGATACACTTGTGAGTGAATGTTGCATTATACAACAGTCAGCAATAGTCCTGCCATATATTGATGCAGGAAATAATCAAGCTTGGGTCATAGCTCACGATATCAACCACTGGTTTGTCTGGTCATGACATTAATATAAATAGGCTTCTCGAGTACAGAGTACACTTATACTTAACCACTCTCAAATGAATAATCAGATCAAATGTTGCCAGGTCACTGTAACAATGCATTTTTTATTATTTCCTGCTCTGACATGTGATTTATGGTGAAATACAAATAATAATAATAACTCATTCCCTCTTTCAATTTCAGTTTCTCTTTACTATTAGTTCATGTAAGTGATGTTTTAAACAGTTTATAAAGATAAAACGAGTAGGTTCACACAGAGTACACAGGCTAGACACAATGTAAGACGTAAACACTTTGTTTATCACAAACTAGCCATGTATTCCGTAATGTCAATACCTAATTGTTTTTCAAGAACAAAATGTTTCCGGTTTCCCTGTTCCTCAAAGCAAAATATAACAAAATACTAAAAACACTGGGTCTGTGGGACTGCCGGCTAGAATAGGTCCCATCGATCTGTGGCTTGTCAATTGATTGCAGAGCTCCAGATAAGATTTAGCTTATGTGGGTACTGTACCCACTGTATTTTTCTGGAGTGGGTATTTTGAATGTTGAGTGGGTATTTCATTTTCCGTTACCCACTGCTTTCAAATATGTGCATATTTCAGTCATTTTACTCACCTAAGTATTATGTCATTGAGTAAGTTTACCAAGCAGGTATGTTCTGCCTTATGTCATACCTAATCAAAACCAACTTAAATATAATGGAAATGATTTCATAAAAAAATCACTCATCCTATACTGAGAGTACAACACTTGTCCTATACTAACAGTACAACTTGATAGCAACCGATGTCTTTTTCAGTACGCAAGCAATTTTTTATAAATATAATCTGTAAGCATTTGTTTTAAACTTTTTGCTTATCTAACATTTTTAATTGGTACGCAACAATTATTTTTCAATGCGTAATTTGAAATTTTCTATGCATATTTTACCCGTATACGCAGCTTATCTGGGCCTCTGGATTGCATTTAATAATAGTGTCTAGAGATAAATTGAAAGCTTTGTTGTTCATAATATCAACCACTGGATTGTCTGACCAAGGCTCTATCGATGATGTTGTCATAATACATCTGAAATACTACCACAACGTGTAACTTTAAACAGTAGTACAAAGTGTGAGTCTTGTATATTCTGGTCTGTCTTGTAAACTGAGTTAATAACAGTCCATACATTTACACTAACACCAATTCAAAATGGTACCAAGTGAACAGCCATGTTGGAGCTTGTGGACTCAAAAGTTTCTAGCACAGACTGTTTTTGAACATGGAGTAAACACTCAACAACCAAAAAAGTCACAGAACAAAGATGGAAATTAACTAATATTCAGGTTTCACACTGTCCAACTTCATCATTGCTTTTGACTTAATGCAAATTGAAAAAACACTTCTGTATCACACTGATTTCTACACGCAGTCCTATAAACATGTTAATCTCCAAGTCATTTCTGCAAAGATTTCATGTAACATATTTTACATGATATGCTTGCCCATCAGTGGAATATATAGTTTGAACAACTTCCAGTGTTAAACACCAAAAACCATTTGAGGATCAGTTACCAGGTGGAGTAAAATTTAACAGGGAATAAAACCATGTTACAGTGTCTGACAAGTAAGCACATTAACCACACGACCACCTTTGTGTTCTTTAACATATACAAAACTGATCAAATATGCTTTTTTATACGCGATTACTCTTTCAAAGACTGAAAATATTTCGTTTTGGCAGTGAGATTTGAGATTCAGAATTTGTGGAGAATTCACACTTGCTTGTATTATTATTTATTCTAAGGCTTAGTAAGCTTTGAAAGGAAGGGCTTGGTGGAAAGGAAAATAATATGGTTCAGCAACTGTGAAACAGACTATCCATACCTATATGCTGATATTCTAGACAATGATCCCCATCTTAAAAAAAATCATATTTTAATAAATGTGCATCTTGAGCATATTTTTGGTGATCAGTGAGATACTTGCTAAACTGTATCAGGAGATAATGGCTGATATTCGGTACCAGTGTCTGATGCTGCTTCACAATATAACAGAGTTGATTCCCCATGAACAAACACAAAACTGTGCCATTATACGAGTTTCAACAACTATCTGCCCTTAATAATGTAAGCCAGGAGTTATGTCAGTTAGGCAAACAAAAGCAGAAAAATATTTGCCATTCCTACAACAGATCAATATTGGGGTGTACAAAGCACTGGCCAGTTGAGCAGTGTATTTAATATGATCATGCGGAGAGCCCGCTACAATTATCAGCATCTTGTGAATTGGCACAGAGCCCAGTGATGTATAACAAACCATTACAGATCAGTAAGCCACTCGGATAATAATCCGACATAACCACGATCATTAATAAAGCACATTCCTCCAGAGGAAGTGGTTGTATCTGTGAGGATGATTACACAGGCCGTCTGACATGTTGATGAAACGAGCTGCCGGTTTGTTGATGGTGTTGTTTGAAGGAGGGACATGCGTGATGATGTTATCATAACGTATCAGAAGTACCAGCCTTTACACTCCATCGCCTGCTTTAATTAGGTCACGACTATATAGTCAGTGCAGTAGGTGCTGTTTGGGAAAATCTTCATTCAGCCTCGGAGGAATTCATCGTGTATCATGCATGAGCTGATGCGTGTTCACTCAGAATTACCTACTGGAACTGATCTTCACCGGAGTGTAGACTCAAAAATATCTTAGCAGAACAGGTGTTATGTTCATTTGGGAGGGAGGTGAAGAGGTGATTCTTTTTCACCATACCTTCCAGGCTTAAAATTTCAGTCAAATAATTGCTTTCAAGATTAATTCATTCTTTTATTTTGATTTGATTTAATTAAAATTCATGTTTTCTTTTATACCTTTATTTCTTTTCATCGGTACATGTTTTACAATAAATGGATAGTTTATAGTTCAATACACATTGTATCTAATCAAAATGGGCATGACAATTCAGTAGCTGATAGTTATGGCTTTTAAAGGAGATGCCGTTCCTTTCACACAAGGTTCATCTATAGGACATGATATAATTCCTATAATGTCAAAGGAAAATTACTGTTTTGATCAACGGTCATTGACATTTCTCTGCAGAATCAGTGTACTAGGAATCTCATTTTTATTAAATGTCACAGAACAAACAGAACCGAAACATAAGCCTTTCCTAGTTGCTTTCACTTTTAGGTAGGTTTGTTGGTGGGTTTTTTAACTGCTTTCAGCAATATTCCAGCAATACCATAGTGAAGGACAAGAGGAATGGGCTTCACATGCTGTACAGGTCAGGAATTGAACCTGGGCTTGTAACGCTGTGACAAGCAAACACTTTAACCATTAGGCTATCACTGAACGCCAATAATACGTATTGACTTTGCTGCTATATAAAACCACGTTTACCCAGTTTACCTATAACCTGTCAACATCATATAGCACTCAACATGGCTTGTGATGTTAACAAATATCCCTTATCCATTTAAATGTCTTTATTTCCTGTGACATTTCATTTCCTCTCAAGAGTTGGACAGAACATGGAACTCCCTCAAGTACCAATTGCAAAAGTAATTACTGGCAAGTATCAAATAAACAGTTTCATTATAATGTGATCTTTTAGTCCAATACAGTATCTCTCCACTCCAATAAGGCATATTTCCTCATAGTTTTCTGAGAACACCTTCATTGAGGTTGTAAGCAAGTCATTGTGGAAGTTCTTTAGCAAATCACAAATCAAATTTCTATATGCTTTTAGTAATATTCCAGCAATATTATGGCAGGGGACACCAGAAATGGGCTTCACACATTGTACCCATGTGGGGAATCGAACCCGGGTCTTTGGGTGATGGGTGAACACTATAACCACTAGGCTACCCCACTGTCCTGAAAGATGAAGTGACCACATAGATGCTGACATCAATCATAAGGAAAATGAGACTTCATTAACAAGATATCCTCCCTCAGCACAGATGAATGGCCATCCACCCCATTCTACAGTAATGCATGACTCCAAGCTATAACTGGCTTGTCCATTCATAGATTTGTTAAACAATTATGAACTTCACAGTAACAAGATGACACCAGTGTAAACTAAGTCTCCCTCCAGCACAAATAATCTTTGACAACAATGGCCATGATCCACCCCATTCTACAGTAACATGCATGACACCAGTGTATGAAATCATAAGGCTCTTCCAACCGCCCCAAACGGTCTAGATTTCTGACAACAATGGCTATGATCCACCCCATCCTACAGTAACATGCATGTCACCAGTGTATGAACTAAGGCTCGTCCAACCGCCCGAAACAGTTTAGATTTCTGACGGGTGGTCTAAATTTACAGCCAAATGGTCTGGTAAAAGTTTTAGATGTTCCATACATCTGAGTAAATTCACCATATTTGGTCTGGTAAATCCATTTACATTTTGAAGTTACCAGCCCTGATGTTTGGCTGGATTTTTGGCTTATTTCATACACTGATGACACAATAATCCAGATCATGCAC